GCTGAAAGCAAACGCGTACACTTTATAGGAGTATTTGAACATTTTGCTGGAAGTAAAAATTTGATTTATCGTTACATAACATACTGTACAATGAGAAAGAAGCACCGAAAGAATGATCAAACCGGAAGTCAGGTTATCTCTGCTGCAGGTTGGCTGTGTATTGTTAAACCATTCAGAAGTCGGCATCAGATCCGCCCTATCGTAAAGAGGCAAATGCAAAACCTGCCTTCAGCACACGCATACATTACACATAAAAACACGTCTATCAATGACTTTAGCTGCTAATAGGACGCAATAAAACCAAAAACCTTTTATATGAGAATATGTTTGAAAGTATTAGAACAAAAAAAAACAAATGCAAACAAGAAAAGAAATATTCAAGTAATTTTCTGAAACTTTTGTCTACTGATTCATAGAAAACAAAACATGTACATTACATGACTTACATGAAAAGAACAGACCTGTATTACATTCAGTTTCATTAGTAAAGACAACTTACTTGAACTAATTAAATCAACATCTGTTTTATTGCAAGAAGACAGTTCCCACTCTAAGATCTTAGCAAACAACATGAATGATCATAGCTGTTGAAAGCACGTTACATTTTATAAAACCAAACAATTCCAAGACGGGAACCCTGAGGACATTCGGGTTAAAAATACCTTCCGTGTCCGACTGCATCATCTGAAAGGCGACAAGTGTGTGCTCCCAAGCAAAATCAGAGTTCTTCCAAAGTGTCTTCTAAGAGGACACTGAAGAGACCAAAATCTATCAGCGGCCCCCATTTCAACAATAGACAAAACTTCTGTCTCCCTGAAAACCCCTTTCCATATGGCTGTTGCTAGGATGTAACCCACTCACCCACTCGCCCAAACAAGAATAAAGGATTGGTTTGGTTCGGTTAAGTATTGTTTAACGTCCTATCGACAGCTATGGTCATTTAAGAACGGCCTCCCCTGTTTGCAAGATGCATGCGTGTAGTGTATGCGTGTGTGTTTTGGGAGGCTGCGATATGTTCGTGTTTATCTCCTTGTGACAGCGCGGAACTGATGCCGACTTTATAGTGCTACCTCACTGAAACATACTGCCGAAGACACCCAGCAGGACACCCAACCTGGTCACATTATACTGACAACGGGCAAACCAGTCGTCCCACTCCCAAATTGCTGAGTGTTACGCAGAAGTAGAAACTACCATTTTTATAGATTCTGGTATGTCTCGGCCAGGAGACAGAACACAAAGCCTCCTGCACAGGGACGAACGCTCAACTAAAGGCCAAAGGTGCAAAATACATTTTAAAACTATCAAATGAAAATAGTTACTACGTAACGATGCACGCTATTGATATGCAAGTATGCTATATTCTTTATGGAAATGCTTGCTTTGTAGATTAAAAAACAAGTGCAAGGCAAAAATAAGAACTTGCTTTAGCGCAAATATTTAATGTAGTACATGTGTTGGATAAATATTGTAAGAAAGGACATTTTAAAATGATTAAATGGCAAAAAAAGTTACTACGTATAGATACATGCTATAGATTGGCGAGTATATAACATACATTATGTATGGGAATCCGTGCTTATAAACATTAAAATAGCTTTGTGAACGAAATATTCATGAAATACACATTATTAAAGCAATTACATGTACACATGATTGATTTGACAGCATACTTTTTAAATGAACAGAAAATATTTGTGTAATCGCGGTAACGTCATGATGACTGAGCATTTGTATACAGTTTGCATATGAAACAGCATATTAACGTCTCCAACAAAATATACTGATATCCTATCAATAGGATTTCAGCGTACAGAAAAAAATCCATCAAAAATAACAATTTATAATATATTAAAGATCTGTAAAAATAATATAATAATATTAAAATTATTTCAGTTTTAGAAGCTATGACATGACATTTGAAACTCGACGTCCTATTAACTGTCAAGGGTTAGTGCGTTAGCAATGCAAGTGAGGTGAGGTAGCGCAGTGCTTACAGGAACCACTATGGTGTGCCATCTAACTGAAAGGATATGGCCTAGTAGTGCGACAATCAACGCAGTCATATTATTTGACAACAGGAAAACCAGAGGTGCATGGCGGCTTATTTATGCCAATCCGTTTTCTCGTGTTTTCGCCCCGAAAGGACGAGAATTAACAAACCTCGAATCTCGTTGTTTTGTGCTATGGCACCGAGAAAACGAAAGAATGATAATTAAAATTAACTTATTCTAGACAAAAAGACAAAACCACGACATGACACAAAACAGCCATCGTACTGTTACATTGTAGGGCACCGCCAAAGGAAAAGACTAGACACGGGATTGCAGTGATGTAATTGGACAGCAGATCTATTTTAGCTTAAGAAATATAGGATGTCATATCTGTCATATAAATTTGTTGAAAATGCAACATTATGGAATTGTGCAATATACATGTTCTTCTGATGTTTGAAAAATGTTATTGTGGACAAGCAAACAAGTTACGGCAAATATGGATTGGGAAACTCGTGTAAGATCCTTTATATGTGAAACTCCCTGGTGGTTCCTGAACCGACAACATGATTATCAAAAGTGAATGAATCAACGCAGCTTTTTATTGTAAAATATGACCAAGCTAGGTACAAAACTGGACGAAAGATATTAAACTGCCTTGTTCTGATGTTAAACCTTCTATAACAAATTTTATTAAAACGAAATGGCAAAATAAATGATCTGAAGAAGTAAGCAGCAAGTTATTTGCAATTCAACCTAATGTGGGTTAATGTGCCACAATTAAAGCAGACCACAGAGAGGAAATTATTCTCGCGACTGTGCATCGGCCAAACCTACGTCACACATGGCTACATATTGCGTAAGGAAGACAAGCCTTATTGGCATGCATGTACACAACCATTTACAGTCAAACACTTTATGATTGAATGCGCCGATTTCAAACAAATACGTGACAGATTTTATGATGTACCGTCTATTAAAAAAATGATTTGATACATTTTTTGTGCGATTAATATGTGACTATTGATCTTTACGATAAAATATAAATGTCTCATTTTACAGTGTTGTTTGGCCCTAAATGACTCAAATTGTCGATGGACGTTTTGGTCGTTAAACAATTCAAAAACAAAACAAAGCATTACTTGTATGACGTTAGCTACAAAACAGAAACCGCAACCTACTTCTCGAATAGGTTTAATATTTCTTATCTGCAGCTTGCAAAGCTTCAGTTGTATAAGCAATAAAGCTAAAGTTTATATAAACATGAAGTAGGATTCTGACATAACAAACTTTTCGAGAAACGTGAAATGATGCTATACAAGGCAACTATGAACACTGAATTAAAAAATTACAAAAATGATCTCAACATATTCTATTGAAATGAAAACAGGGTAATCATGAAAAATGTTATTTAATACAAAAAATAATATCAACAAATTATATTCAAATGAAATACAAAAATCGCAGATAAATATATATATATATGAGATAAGGAAATAGGCACATGGGCAAGTTCAAAAGGTCAATCAGAGTAAGCTGATAATGTTATATCATTAACCTGTTTGAGCAAAATATTTTATTGTTAAATTGAAAATTATTATATAGATTGCATATCTTAATTTTGAAAAATAATATTAACAACACATAATTCATATTTTGACCTTGTATTGGCTTGTTTTGTTTAACCTACAACACAATCTAAGTAGATGATTTTCTGCCTGCTACAAATTTTGACTTAATTGAGTGATCGATAATATCATTAACAGACGACGTCATTTGTCGTGTTGATATTTGATATGCAAAAATGCACAGCTGCATAACGAAATTATTTGATAATACTAGAAAAATGTTGGTTCATGTATTCGTCAATTTTGACGAATTCCTCATATTCGTAACAGGTTGATCAACACTTGTGTTTAATAAAATGCTTGACAATTTGATAATGTCTTAAAAATTAAAATAATGTCTATATTCTATCCTATCAATTTTACCGGTTTATTTCAAACAAAAGTGATCCGAAGACTCAGATGATGCATCAGCAGTGGAATTAATATAAATAACGAACAATCTATAACATATAAAAATGTCAAAACACATAAAAAAGATAAATGTATCAAATAAGATAACATAATAGACATAACCGCGCATGTTCAACATATTAACATAAAGATATTGAGTTAAGTTGGAGTAAACGTGAAAGCATCGTACATGAAAGCATAAACCGTTTGTTATAACTGTCCATTAAAAATGCATCCCATTTTGCAAAAGAATTCTCTCAATTTCTGAAAATTGTAATTTCAAAATATGTATGGATGAAAATTTTCTTTTACATTTCAACTGTAATGCGATATGAAATGAAGTTGATACAAAATATAGTTCATAATAAAACAAACGGTGATTATTGTTTATATACGTAATATACAAATTAAAAAACAAACTCAAATGTTTGGTATTAAGTTATACTTTCCCTCACTTAATTGTAGTTTTACTTGAATATATTGACCATCTAATTGCTGTTTTATTATTTTTGTTTTTTTCGTCTTGATTTTTTAATGAATGTTCTGCAAGGTACGTTTTTTTTTAATTCAGTGTTTATTTATCAAAGATATAGGCATGCTGGAAAACAGCTTAGTTACATTTTTGGCAGTGGTAAGATGATCCTTAATATATTTCTGTCATTGTTATAAAGGTCGACATCTTATTGGAAAACGCAACACAACAACTGACACATATCGCGACCTCTGCTCAAATATGCCTAGCCCTAAATTGATGCTCTCATGAAATATTTAGTCTATTGTTTAAGTAGAGGCACACTTTTTCAGTGATTCATTTTAATTAGTTTAACATTTTCTTTGTGTCTTTGTAGGTTATATGTAATGGTTATTTAAAAAAATGGTTTACAAAAATAATATATAATAATATATTAGCCATGGAGATTCATTTTTCGAGTACCTTTTAAAGAGTCCTAGTTACACGATTGTGAACGGATAATTTTGACTCATTTACGTGGCTGTTGCGATATTATAAGGCTGAAGGGTACCAGCAGATAAGCTATATTATAACCATTGTCACTTATGTACAAAAATGTCGAAGTCCTTTCAAAGGAAGCATGTCACATGTCGCAATGCATTTTACAGTAAAAAGTTGTTCACACTTTAAATGATTAAAAAGAAAGCCAAAAGTCAAATTTACTGCAAAGGTCGAACGATGGAACTTGACATTGCAAATACCTTTACTGTTGCCATCAAGGAATTGTTAATATGCAGCTTCAAAATGACTGCAACACTGAAAGATGAATAATTTGGCAGGGGAGACAACTCTCTAAGTCAAAAATCCTCGGAATGAAACTCTTCTTTGCCATTAAAACTGATGCAGTGGTACCCTTTACACTGTGCCTTAAACGTTAACGTTCACAAAAAAACTAAACCTAAAACAAAATGTCTAAGAAAAAAAGAGAGTATTTTCGTATATGAGTGATCGAATCAAATTGATTTGGCGTATGACTAAATAAAACATACGAACGATAGCAACATAGCTATTGATAGTTGGAACTTCAATGGTAATATTACTATATAATTACACTTAGCAATGGTAAAGATTCAGGAACCGAGTTTATGCTAAAGTCCTGCAACCTGCTGTACTACATTGCGGGACAAAAAGGTTTCAAAAGTAACATGTTAAGATGTTCGTTATCTTTGTCCATGTACTAGTTGATGATTAACATTTAAAAATGTCATAGTCATGGTTCGTAGCCACTGTATTCAACCAATGACCAAGCATATGCTTGTTTTACATCTTCATTGTTTTGGCTCGGTCGGTATTGTGTTCGGAGGCATGCGGTTTATGTTCCCTTGATATTTTGGTTGACTTGCGCCGCTTGATGTTGATGAGTTCGTTAATTCTGGCATAGCATTGTAACTATTTGGAGTCGCATTCTGTTGCTGTAAATGAGAAATAGGTCCGTCTTCATAAGGTGGAGGGCCCCCCAAATTCGACGTATTCAGTCCTGCGTATTGTGGATTAACGACACCATCAGGACACTCTCGAATAGACGGGAGAGCAGTGAGGTAATCATCGGACGGTTTATGTCTAGGCCGACTTGAGCAACGACGATAAAGGATGATTGCGATCACAATTAAAAGAATAACTACAATGGATCCCAAGACGGCCCCAACCACTACGGCCACATTAAGGTTGTCAGGTGATACGGTAGTTGATGGACTCTTGGTAGTCGTGGTGTCTTCTGGTCCCGCACACACATTCTCTGCAATACAAAAATTGCGGTATATCTACTATCTACTATTCATGACTGACCTTTCGTGTTCAGTCAGGAGAGTGTTCCACAATACCACCAGTGTGTTTTATGATAATGTAAACATGCGAAACATTGGGAATTATCACGATAACTTGGTATTTGCAAACATTTAAAAAATCGACGAAATCTGTCTAAGTGTTAGTTTCAACTAGTGTGATATGTCCTAGGTGAGGAACGATAGAAAATTTCCCGATCTAGATCACATGCGACACCATTTTGTTATAGTTTTTTTCATCTTTAACATAAATGCATACTTTAATATTCATAACTTGTGAATAAGACGTCAAACCAAATCATAAAATTTCATTTTATGATTTGACTTATCGATAAATAGGATATAAGATCATCAATGTTTTATAGGCTTACGTTTTCCCCCGAGGACTGTTCCGAAGTCACATGTGTCTACGCCCCTGCAGCATGGTTTTGCCAGCGGAGCTCTGTTGTCGCGGACACACCAACTACAGCCAGCCACAGAGTAGCAATCACTACAATCGTTAAAAGAGGAATACATATTTGTATAACTTTGAATACAGTTTGATGATGAGTTGCTTAAAGGATTCCTGTCCTACTGCCGGATTTTTTTTTTTTTATATTATTCCACTCTATTTTTACATATATTCAGTAACCTCCCCTACATTTTGTTTGGCCTGAAAAACTTCTTAATTAGGTATCTCAGTTGGTAAGAGCGATAATTATAATCTGAAGTCCAGAGTTCCATTCCTGCTCTATACCTTGTTGTTTATTACATTCAGAGTACAATTTTTGTTTATTCACTGTGACCTTTTGCTGTCCGTCGTGCGTAAACATTTTACATTTTCAACTTAAGATGAAATACTTTTTAAGGGATTTCATTTATACTTCATGGGAATGTTACTGACATCTCCCTGACCGAGTGTTGTTATTTTCCGGGTCTAGCAGAGTCCAATATGGCTGATAAGGCCGCCATTTTGAAAAACTATTTCAAACTTTAGGTCAAATTCTACTGGGCCGATTTAACTGAAACTTAGTAGGAATGATCGACTCAAGTTTCTGGCAAAGTGTTGTTATTTTTCAGGTCAATCAGAAATCAAATATTGCCGCCACGGCCGCAATTTTGAAAAACTATTTCAAACTTAAAATCAAGTTCTACTGAGCCGATTTATCTGAAACTTGGTAGGAATAATTGTCCTGACAAAGTATTGCTATTTTAAAGAGTGTAAAATGAAGGCACGTGTGTTGCTATTTTTCGGGTCGATCAGAAATCCAATATGGCCGCTACGGCCGCTATTTTGAAAAAAAGAAAAAGAAAACTTAAAATCAAGTTCTAATAGGCCGATTTATCTGAAACGTGGTCTAGGAATAATCAACTCATGGTCCTGACAAACTTAACCTAATGTTATACCTAACTGTTTTTTACTCAAATTTGGTAGGGATGATTGACACCATTATCTTCACTTCATATTTGTACAACAAAAATAAATACTGTAGGACTCAGGTGACCGTTAAGGCACATGGGCCTCTTGTTTTCATTAATATATGGCCCTCTATGTATTAGATTTTTCCAAAAAAGACGTATAAAAGTAATTGTCACATCAATTGCATATTAACAGGTGTTGGTTGTATCAACAGCTATGGTCATTTAAGGACGGCCTCTCATGTGTGCAAGATGCATGCGTGTAGTGTATGCGTGTGTGTTTTGAGAGGCTGCGATATGTTTGTGTTTGTCTCCTTGTGATAGCGCGAAACTGCAGGACACCCCACCCGATCACATTATACTGACAATGGGGGAACCAGTTGTCCCACTCCTAAAAAAGCGTTAAGCAGGAGTAGAAACTACCATTTTTACAGACTCTGGTATGTCTCGGCCAGGGGACAGAACCCAAAGCCTTCCTCACAGGGGCGAACGCTCAACTAAAGACAAAAAGTAAGGCATTGTCAAGGGAGACATTAAACAGAAGAAAGTTATTTAGAAAGAAGAGAAAAGATAAGATCCTAAATTTAGTCGCCTCTTCCGATTATACAATGGGGGCAGCAGGCACAGTTCTTGTGCCCTACCTGCAGGGACGGCAGTGCAGGGATTCTTAATGTATGTATCGGTTGAATATTTGAAACTGGATTTGTAATCGTACACATGTTTGCTCGTTTCGCACTTTAAATATTATGTTTAATTAAAAGTGTTCATATTGCAGTTTGTTTTAACATGGCCACCCCTGCACATCGCAAGTTGTCGCAAGACGCGATTAGTGTAGGGCCGCTTGCAAAATCGGTGTTTTATTGATTTAACTGATGATTGTACATTTCAGAAAAAATGGCAATGCTTGGTAGTTACATGGTGTTATTAAAATGTTTAACTGTCGTCAGTCATTGATTTTATGTACATGTTAAAGAGTATATAATACTTTTGCGATAAAACTTACAAGTCATGTGTCCTGTCGTCACATATGGGGTTGTAACAGTCTTGCAGGCCGTCTAAGATGTCAGGTTTCGCTGTTGAAGAACTATCGGGAGTCTTGGCAATGCATGTCCCGCTAATGCCGCTGAAAATATAAGTTTGTATCCATAATGTGAAATGTCGGTGAGGTTGAAATGTAAATTAGACTCTAAACATGTGATATTGGTCAATTATGGACTTTTGTTGATGTAAATATCTGGTTGTATGAACCTGGGAAAATGATATTAACCGAGACGAAGTCTTAAAAACCTGTTTTACTTCGGTAAATATATTTACATAAGTAAAAGTCCTCAATTGTTTTATTAGATGCTAAATTATTTTGTAATCATCAAACAAAGTAAAACGTATGAACATCGTTCGGGGGAAAGTACTGCATTTGCGCAGTGAACATTGAGGCGTTACAATTGTACTGACGTCATGAAGTGAATATTAACCTGCTGTTTCTTAAAATTGAAACACCGAGTCAATATCACAAAGCATCGACCTCCACGTGATTATGATCCAACTAATGAGAATATAGGGAAAATTTGTGTCATCTAGTAAATAGTTATACCTCTTGTTTTGAGGGTAAAACATAACATTACGAACAATTAAATGGGGGTATTTAAGTTCAAACACAAAATAGTTTTTTTCGGATATTTGGCAAAGGGAATTATAATTAATCATTTAGCAAAACTGCTTTTTTCAAATTACTTTAATCAATTTATTTTTCTTCGGAATCTACCATTGAACAATTTAATTTGTCAAAGAAGACCATATAATGCATTTTGCTTGACTTTTAAGTTTGTGGTTCTTGACCTCTTGCAGACAAGTATACCGTTCTAGAAAATAAATCACGCATGAATACACCCCAAAGATTAAGCAAAAAAATATGTTCACATTCGATCGATCCTTTGTTTTTATCTCTCTCGAACTCACTCCAACCTGTGTTCTGATATCTTGTCCACTGGGCGCTAACAAATTGATAGACAAACAAAAAAGACAACTATATATACCATCTCTACTTCTTAGACAATTATCGAAACCTCAATTAATCCCCATATTTTTCTTTATGGGCCTAAAAATATCTTTGGTGATTTTTCTTTTAATTCTGAAATTAGCCTTCCTCCAAAAAATGAAAAACAGAAATATATACAACCCGACCGACCTGACACATTTTTCAGTCATGTTTTTCAGAAACATAACAATTTTGGCCTTATAAAAAAACGACGACGGGTTACAGCTGAGCCTGTTTGTGAAGACAGGCCAATGGGGAAATCATTTTTATTTTCCTAAACTAAGGAATATGTGCGTGCGAATTGATGATTTAGTGAGTTTATTCTCCACTGTCGTGTAGCTGATACGACAACAGTTTACACTTCGGCTGATTTCAGTGGAGTGGTAAGTATAAGCTGTTTCACTACTTATAATGTTTTATTACGGTCATTTCTTCTATGAAGCATTGTTTGACACATTGTTTCCTGCATTGCAAACTGTCCAGCTCCCAATATATCTTAATACATGTTTCAACGTGTCTACAAACAACTATCTATAGGTAATTAACAGTTCAAATAGTCGTTATATACTCATCCTTCATCAGAATATTTTAAAGACAAAACAGCAATAAGGTGAGGAAAACAAAATGCTACCAAGACGCTCTGTTGATCAATTGAAATCAGTCGAAGTGTAACATAATAATGTCCTCAACTGTGACTCCGTATGGCATGTTATCTCATCATATTTAAATACTAACTGTTCTACAAAAAGAGAAAGTAATATAATAATATTGACAAAAAATGCAACTTTGTCTATCAAGCAATTCTGTTTACACGAAAAAGTTCTGTTTCCACAAAAAAAGTGTTTAGACAAGAGCGGAAATATGCCACCATGGTAAAAATACAAGCCGCTTCTTGCCGACCTAACGAGAAAATACTTCTCATCAGCTCCATTGGTAGAGAGTCACACTAATGAACACGTGGTGTCAGGTTCGACCCCGATCAGAGGGATTGAAACCTTGTTACATTATATTCACTGAAGTTCATACACTTTTAATATTTACCGACCAAGAAACTCTATTCTCTTCGATGTAAATCACAACAAATTACCAATCATTTGATATACTGTATATTAATAGAATCTGACAGGGGAGTTATTTGCTGGCAAGGAAATCTAAACCCAAGGGTAATGGTTTGGCAGTCCAGTTTCGTTTGACCACACCCATGTTTGATTTGTTTTTCTCCCATACTCGAAATAAATATGTCATCGTCAGTACACTACATGTGTGCATGAACTTGTATTTCATGACAGGCGCGCATACATACAGTTATGTTAATTTCATAGGAGTGAAGAACCCTGAACATGAAATCAGAAAATCTATTTAAAGCACAAAGTAAATTATATTTTTATTAAATTTCCAACAACTGTTATATATCAGTTAATATATCTTATACTAAGTACAAAAATAATTAATTAAACACAGCCAAAAAAACTAAACTATTGAAGAATGCGATTAAAGGTCAGAGGTCAAGTATGCAAAAGTGCATATTGACATCATAGCGTGTTTAGGATCTTTTCCTGGAGGGAAAGACAAGTTTGTCTTTTCATGGGTAAATTACTGTCTTTCATGTGCGTGTACGACAATAAAAGTATTTCTACAATCTGCTAGAAATTTCGTCACGAGATGACTTCAGCTATTACATGCTTTAGGACGCTTTACCCAATAAAACCAAATCAAACCATACGTACTCTTTACTATTTTCATTCAGACATATGTCAAAGGAGATGGGCGTGTGGCACAAACATTCACAAGTCCCTCCAGCACACGTCTTTTCTGTTGGTGATACCATAGGTATGTTCTAGGAAAAAATACAGGTTTTGTTTTCATTAAAATTGAGGAAATCTGTCAATAAAGTAGCGTATGTTTGCAAAATAACAACTAGATAAAGATAATTGGCACTCGTCGTTAATAAATGCCTAAAATAATGCTTTATAGCCGTGTTCACATTTCAAAAGACAATGATGACAGAATGTTATTTAAACTTGAGGAAATTATAATCAACTGTTGCAAGGTATGTGTTTATCGCAAGAAAGAGAAGGTTACCGTGCAGCACTGATCGATGACATCTGCCGTCGTTTTTCTAACCAGGAAGACATTTGTACCCGCCACTTTCCATAATCCATAGCCGGTCCCTGTGATGTGATCATCGCCGGCATTCAACTGTATCTATAATTGATATAATACCATTATGATAACCAAGCTCAGAACTGTTTGAGTGTATTGCTTCAATCTTGTTTGTTTTCGTCCGATGAAACTAAACAGTATTGTATACACGTCGAATCAATTTTATATTTATTAAGTGTTAAAGTTACAATTGAAAAAAATCAATAAAAAAAATCCCCCTTTTAATTGCAAGTTAAGGAAAAGAACAGGCCTGCAGTATCCCATTGCATGTTGTGAGAGGTGACTTATTTGGGTCCCCCGCAGAATCGGTGTTTTTGCGGTCTTTCCTACGAAAATGCCATTGAAGTGACCATAATTGATATACTGCCCCATTGAAACGCCCGGGATATGTCTTTTCTATTCTCTCATAACTATTCTATTTTCCTTTCTGTTGTTTTGTCTATGACATTAAAGGCCTTAAAATGGTAGTTAGTTATTACATGCTTAACGTTTAGTATTTCGGGTTTTATCAGCAACTGGTGTCCCGATGTCACCATAATGTGACCAGATGGAATATTTGGATTGGTTCCTTCGGCATGGTATTTCGGTGAGTTAACATTATAAAAAGGCATCGGATCTAGGGACATACACAATTTTACGCATACATAACATATTGAAGTATGCCCTTAAATGATCCTAGCCGATAAAAGGACGTTATAGTGTATAGCTGATCCGGTATGTGACGTTCACCTCCGTATGCAGAATCGATTTTATGATTGGAATGCAAGGCAAATTTGATTCTTAGAGCACTATTCCCAACATAAAAATTCAAAAGTAAACATTTGTTTATGGTTTGTTGAATTGCCCTAATGACGTTATCCGTGTTGGGCCGTTCAACAAACCAGAGATATAAATCTTCTGTCTTAGATTGAACAAAGGATAGGTTACTGCATATACTCAAACCTCCATAAAATGTTATCATTGTTCGCTCAATCATGTAACAGAAAATGGCACATGTACATTTGCGAAAGATTCCATTGCCAGTCACAAGGAGACAAGGTAATACCTAATACTCCTTGGTTTCAAAGTAGACCTGTCTCTTGCCATGTGAAGAAATCTGGTATATTTGTTTAGCGTGCAGGTCGTTGGAATGTATGTTTGAAGCTTGTCAAAATTTACAAGATTACTTCATAATACCAAACGGTATGCTATATACATCTTTATTTGTTTCAGTGTGTTTTAACAATAAATGCCAATGCATAAAGTTCCGAACATCAGCACTAAACCAATTTTGTTTAAAATTGTTATTAAATAATGAATAATAAAGTGTTCCACCTGACTTCGTTACAGATATAACTGTAAATGTGATAATGATGAATTTACTCTTTTAATGCTATTCATATCATAGAACGAAAACTACAACATGAAAATATACCCTATATGTGTACTGTAACTTGTGATTGTCGAAGTCTGCACAGCTTTGCCTGCTCATCACTGAATTGGCGATCAAGTCCTTAGCAATGTCACTTTCCTGAAAATACCAGAAAACATTAACATTTACAATAACTCAGGTGTTACAAAGTTTAACAGGAGCTTATTACCCTGTATCACTGCGGTCGGGGACAGAATCATTGTTGTGTCCAAAAAGTTCGTACTGTGATCTATGGAAACAGGTGCTAACTTAATGTATAACGGTGATTTGTATGCCTTTTCTGTTTATCAATTACAACTAATACTATTATCCATATGTTGTTAAGCGCTCTAGAGTAATTTGTAAAATTGCACAGGGCGCCATATAAATGTTGTATATTACAAGGTAAATAAGGCATCGCAGACGACACAGATACTACCACACGTCAAACCCTTCAGAAAATGCAACATTTGTGACAGAAGAAGGTCGAAACGTTCATTCGTACAAAAGGTGTACAAGAGGTGTACAAGAGGTGATGTCGACGAACATGTGTGCGACGTTTCCTGACCATCAGAAAAGGAATGAAGTCTGTCGAGCCATTCTATCAAACTCAGTTATGGTAACAATGACTTAGTTGTTGATCGAAAAAGGTCGAAACAAAAATGTATGCTAGACATGACGTTTGTAAACATGGGGAGGTTTGTGACGTTCGGAAAAGAAAAGTTCCTAGAGTAATTTGTATTAAACACCAAAGCTACAGTAAGCTAGTTTGATGCATTAACACTTGCATACATTTTTGTGATAATTCGAAACGAAATAAAGTTAGTAACGTTAAAGAAATCAATCATATTATATTTATAGTAACATTTACCTAAGTTTTGAACGCAGAAAGTCGAACCTGTTTGCGAAATTTTGTGACAATCACATAAGAAATGAATAAGGTAGAGCGAATACGCCGTTTAGGACAAGTACGTACGAACGAATGAACGTACGTTCAGATCCCTATATACCTTCAACGACCTGTCGTGTGAGGGTTAATGAGCGAACTTTTAAATTCATCATCACTGATACAGTTTTATGAATCAACAAGTTGAGGTGAAATACGTTCAGGTTCATTTGTGTATTTCGTATATTTATAAATTGAGGAAAAAAATCTAACGACCTTCTCCATAGCTATCAACTTTCGTTAGGGTTAGGGGATTAGGGTTAGGGTTAGGGTTAGATCAGTCGGTCGTTAGATAGTTTTTTTTCTATATTTACCTGTTTCACATGGACATTGATTCCTTTATATTATGTTTATATATAGAAACACTGGCTAACAATATCAATATGAAACAAATACTCGATAGCAAGACTGCACATGTCATATTATTTTAAAAGGTGAATGTTACAAACTCACAGGTGAATGTTACAAACTCACAGGTGAATGCACCATCAAAATGTGGTAATAGAATAAATCAAAACTGAAAAACACTGCATCCCTACAGCTGTTTTATCCTTCTGGGACTCGGCAGAGATGATATGGGCAAAAACATTGGAAATTCAAATTAGTATGAAATACTAATGTTTAGGCTAAAGGTGATGTGCGTATGATTTTTTTATGAACTTGATCCTTTTGATATAACTGGTTAAATACAAATTGAATAATGGCTAAATGTGTATATTATTAAATATAAACCATTCGTATACTCAGAAGAGATTAGTGGGGCTGTCAAATGCATAGAATAGCGTAAAATACGTCTGTCATTGAAAGAAAATACACATTTATACAACGTTGCATTAATTATATTCAAACACGACGATTTGACAAAGAGTATACATGAAGAAGTTAGTAACAGCAAGGTATTACAAAAAGATATTGCGCTGAAAGTTAATCAAAAATTGTGATAATGCAAGGAAACGAAAATGCAATCAAACGAATATTCACGACAGAAAGACGGGGTCTTTACAAAAGTACGCCCCATTAAGGAAGATGTGTTTTGGACCTTGGTCAGGATTACTTGTGATGTATCGGATAGAAAAAAGTTATCCTAATTTGGGGTTAATAATCACACGGGCAGAGTAAGATTTAAATAATCTGTAAAATTATTCAACCAGTTACCTTCTGAACTATATGAATTTCTTCTACAGCATCTTTTCTTTCTGATTCCTTAACATTCGGGTCCACAAAATCAGGATGAATGATTATGAAACCCGAATTGTCAACCAGCATACACCTGATGATAAAAAAGTTTCGAATCACCGTAGGTCATTCCGTCAGTGAAATGTACTCCCGATGAATAATTCAAACTTAAATGGTAAATACATGTATCATATAGGATTTGTAAGGCCCTATATCTTATTATTGTGTTTAACGTCATGAATGTATTATGATCTTCTTTCTTCTTTTCAAAAATCCTTCGATTATTTTTAACTAAATATGAAGGGTTTCTGTTTAGCTTGTTACAAATGCATACATTCTCTATTGGTGCTATAAGGGGTTAAAAGATAATAGTGAATTCGACTTTTTAAAAACGTCTGTTTTATTTTGTCATCGATAAATAAACAATATATCATCAGTTAGGTACTTAATCACAAGTTAGTGTGTTGCTTAAGGGTCAGCACCAGACAGTCATCTCATGCCTGATAACGGTAATACGAGACTCTTGCATAACTTGATACACCAGAAAAAAATGAATGGCTAAAGGTTAAAAACTGCATACACAAGTACATAGCAATATGGTCAGATATCATACAAGAATGTTACTACTCTTTACATAAACTGGTACACTTTGGTTGCCGGTGTTCACATTGATAGACCAATCGTATTATATTGTCCAAACCTTAAATTGATTTGTTTCATGCATGAAGCAGGCACGCGTGAGTATAATATGCATGTCCTGTACGACGCCATGAGAGGACGACCTCTGCTTCATGTTTTTCCTCTCCGTTGGGGTTACTTGTCCCTCGCATATTGATCGAATGTGCAGGTTTTAGACAGTTTCGAGACAAATATTATGATGTAACAGATATGAAAGCATTTGTCCATACAGTTAATTTGTCGTTTTTCAAATATTTGTACAATGAAGTCGAATTTTGAAATAAACACCTGCGCTTCGGTCTAAACATCGACAACCGGTGCTGACATGTACTCTAAAATAATGACTACATTTAAAAAAAAAAAAAAAAATGAGGGAGGGGGGGGCGTTGTTAGTTGAGTATGACGTCATCAAAATATGTTTTTTTCGGTCAATCACTTGATATATTGTAAACACAAAACAATGAAAAATCGTGTCACAAACAATTTCAAGTTATTTATATGTGTACATAAAAAGCATTCGTTTCCCTCTAGTGAAAATCATGTAATCTGTGACCCTTGGCACCGTCTCACACTATAATGATTGTAGCATTTATATAATGTTCTGTACCAATACCCTTGTCCACTTACGTATTTCCCGTCTTGCATTCGGGATATAACTTTATTAACAATCGATATAGATATGACAGTCCCATGTCGCAACACAGAACTCCCTCCACGTCGTCTGTATTTGTATGAGCCCTCCCATCTTGTCTGAAATATAACATTGCAATTCTAAGTAATTCCAGGAATAACAGGAATGTTCGAGGACTGAAAAATTCTACGAGTGTAGATCTAAATAGTTCGAAAAATGCTCATGCATTCGCAAACTACTTTCCGTCATCAGATCCCTTTCACATACGTTAAACCAATGTTATTTTTTAACATGAAGCAAGACTACGCCATTTTGAGTCATCAGATTAATTGCACGTACGTAAGTTATTATTTTTTAAACACGATTCATTATTACGCCAATTCTGGCTCTGCACTTAAGTCCATTTGTGTCCTTTTTCTGTGTAAAGAAGACATAGCCGACATCTCGAACACCCGTGATACTCAACATAATATGTTCATAATAAATTTAGTGAATGGAAAAAAAAAAAAATGTATTGATGCATCCACGAATTGTGTAGGCCATTCACGGCATTATATATTTTTGGTGTAACTTTTTTGAAATTGACAGCTCCTTACAGCCTACACGTTTGTGTTACACATTTTTCACGTGCAAAGGGAAATTACTCTAGGATGGAGTTAGTGGTTGTCTGTTACAAATCCAGTGTTCGCTGAGTTTTCGATACTATCCAGGCGAAAGAGGTGAGAGTACTTACGACGCCATCATCCACCACAATTGCTTTCGAATCGTCATTACATAATCGCATTAAAGAGTATTTGAATGAAAAAAGGAAATTAAAACTGTTCAGTTAAGCATGCTTGAACTGTGTTTTCTAGGCAGTTACGTTTCAAAGTTAGCCTATTCCGTCTTTGCGTATTGCAGAGTTATCTTCTCTTGAGAGCAGGTATTGATTGTTACGTCATTGGTTGGTGTGGGAAAATTACGTCGTTTTCTCAAAAATTGATGACTTTACTCTTACAAACAAATGACGTAACAATCAATACCTGCTCTCAGGAGAAGATAACTCTGCAATACGCAAAGACGGAATACTTGTTTTTATCAAATTGTTGATTACATGTTACATGAGTTTACAAATACGTCTTATATATCATGTATATCAATCAGTCAAAATAGTAACACTGTGGACCATTCCAAAAGAAACGATAACTTCAAATTGGTATATTGGGCAAGGAAGTTATTCCAACAGTGTAGACAATATAAAGTTGTCAATTGTTACGGACGATACAAAGAAAAATACATAACTCTGACATGAACATAACGTTAAAACAAAACAAAAATATAATAGGATATAACTAAAAACAACCAGCCCATCGGCTAGCGTAAGCCAAAAGTAATTCTGACTGCAACTTAGACCAATGATACGGTGTTTGTGCAAACAACTATAATATCGGACGATTCGTCCGGTCATGATTAACAGGATATGGAATGGGATATTGGTATATATTTACCATATATCTCTTACAAAACACATTTTATATATTCTACATTATAAGGGCAAGTGGTAAGGGCAATCCTAGCAACTGGTTTTCACGTTGTCCACATAATATGATTGGGTGCCTTCGGTTTGGTTTGGTGTTATTTTGTTTAACGTCCTATAAATATCTCAGGTTATTTAAGTACGTGCCTCCATGTGTATTGTGTCAGCATGCATGTGTTCCGGAAAAAGGGTACGTTGGTGTACTTTCCTCCTCGTTTTCCCATTTTATAGAGCTATCTCACTGAAATGCAACGCTAAAGGCACCCAGCACAGCATTCCGCCCGGTCACATACTGGCAACGGGTGCGTTCGGTATTGCATTTCAGTGAGCTATCTATCTAAAGTCTTTACCAGATCCGCTCTATCACAAGCAGGCATACCCTGCATCCAATAGACATACATGTAAACATACAACACGTTGAGACACGTCCTAAAAAGCTATTAAAATGACGTTTCACCTACTAAAACCAAATGAAACCTAGTACAATAAACTTCCTTGAGAATTCCTAAATCCAATAAAAACTGTAAAGAAAATTGCTAAAAAAAAAAAAAAAAAAAGAGAACTATTTCATCGAGCCAGAATTGGTATCTCACAGTGCATATTGCATATATTTCGATAGCCAAATAGCCTTGTTAATTACCTGCCAATGTATATCGTTTGACATATAGACACAACCAATCCCGCACCCCACGCGTCAATGTAAGGTGTTGTCATAGTGAGAATCCCCCTCTGAGCTTTAGCACGCCGCCACCTAAGAAATGATGAAAAAAACCAATCAAAACCAACAACCACAGCAGGTGGTTCATCATGAGTGTCAAATATATAGAACTACTAGCGGACGTAATGTACGCCACTGCAGGTCGTAGACTGATTAAAGAATACATCTGCTGTTACCCACCGCATGTTCTAAGAGGCAACTTATGTCAGAATTGGAGATTAGCATATGCGCCCTCTACATGGGAAAACCGAAGTGAACGAAATAAATCTGCTGCACCCACTCAAACAGTTCGGATCTAGTACTTCTATTTGCTTCTACTACCTTTGTTTCCTAGAGCTAGGATTGGGGAAAACCTCGCCTTTGGCGTTGTTATTCTGTTTAACATTCAGTATTAAAAAAATGATGAATACTTTGCTTCGTGCATTGGGCATGGTATTTCAGCGAGATAACACTAGAACGTTGGCATCAAATCTACCACCATACCCTGCTTCTTGCTAACATGAACACACGCATGAGCAAATGTCTTAAATGACCTAGGTGTTAAAAGGTTGTCCCTTAAAATCCTTTTAAAACCAACCAAAATCAAAGCATATCATCTACCATAACTGTATAGCTTTGATGACGTAGACCTTTAGCTAAATGGGTTGGATTTATAAACTGCTGTTAAAAATCCCTGACTTCAATTAACTAAACGTAAGAAAGGACATTGAAGAAAATCGCGCACTACGACCAAAATAAGCCTTGTGACTTTTATTTAGATTTAATGTACAACATAGATTTGTACAAGTCGATCCCGCTATGATTACTTCGAAAATGTAACAAAATTCTTCCGATAAATTCTCCGAGACATAATGATATTGAAAATGGAAATCTCATATTCTGAAGTTTGGTTCCTACATTTCTCGCCTCTTACGATCATGCAGTGAGTAACAGCAGGTATATTCCTTTTTAGTTTCTCGAATTTGAAAGTGCATTATCCTTGAAGTATCAAATCCAAATTTATTTAACTGACCATTTGTAAAATACAGATCAACGTGTAACTATCAACTTACCAAGGTCTGACTTCATGATCATAGTCTGAAGTCAGCTGTACTCCTGGAAAAACACGAATGAATCCGTCATTTGTGCCGAAATACCTCCAAATGATGAATAAGGACAGGTCTGTTTTGGTTTTCCATATCTCCTCTGCCTTTATGGAAACTATTATTGAATTGACGACCTCACTCTGTTGAGAAAAACAATGACAGTCGACCGATCGGTGTGTATTCTTAATCATTTATGCATCTTATCCTTTTTACTCGTCCTTATACTTTTGTATAACCACATTTATTTTATGACTTGTTATGTTTCCAATTCAACGGTCTTCAATCGCTTTTTGAATCTTCCTACAATTCTAGAATACCTGAAGAATTGTGGTCTTTCCAAATAAATTCACTAACTATAGACGAGTTAATATGTTTTACATTTTGGTTTGTTTAACAGCATTTCCTTAAACGTGTATGATATTGAACGTCATGTACTTGCTGCTCTAACGACAAAAGTATACCTATGGGCCTTTCATAATTCATAATATAAGCGTTATAATACAATAAAAAAATCGGTTACCGTAAAACCTGGATTAGCCGTCGAGGGATCTCCATTGAAAAACTTCGTGTATCTCTCGACAGTGTTCGTATTTTCCTCTTCATACAAGTAACTGCCAATATCATTGTACGCATGGGAATTGAATTTTACTATCGAGTGTTCTGTAATCAATTTAGGAAAAACGATACTAGTACAACAGCATAAACGGTGTTTCAGAAAATATTCATGTCCGAAAAAGGCAGAAAATCGAAAGCAAGATTTATTGATCGACTTCTGCGGCTTCACATGAACTTTCATGCCAAAGAGATATAACTTCTTGTCACTGTTTCGACCTGAACGTGACTAAAAGTAATATTAAAATGACATGTTCAATTTCGGCAAAAGTAGAAATCTATTGGATATGTGCCAATAAACTGATTTGATTTTTTTCGGGCTACCAAATTAGTAACTTTGAACAATGTGCAACAAAACAAGCCCCAAGCCCCCTCAAGACCTTTAATGCGTTTTGACAGGCAGCGCATTCAGGTACTAACTTTTGGGTTGATGATCGTTTACATCATTATAAAATAAAATTTAAAAAGTATTCTCAAAAAGTATTTGAGGCATGCTCTCCTACCGATTTTTATCAGGTTATTGCATTTCATCTTGAACAAAAATATGAAACGTTCAGGCTATGAAACACGTAATCGTTATCTGAGACAGATAGATATTGAAAGTGCGGGGCCCGTGTCTCGGAGAATACATTTGTTATCATTTTTATTTTAGTTTTCTATATACAATATTTATTGTTGATTTTTTATCAATGTACTTTTAACAAATCAATTGAGTTGCATGCTTATGCTTTTTATAATTTGATATTGGTGAGATATTTGAGATTAGGGAAACGAATATTGTTATTCAGAGAGAAAAAATACCATTCAACACTTCGCTGCGTTGCAGCATAATATCAAAACCTGGTAAAAAAGGACTGTGTAGATATATATAAGGAATTACATTTTCTGTGCTATGATAGTGCAGTCAATGTTGGATCAACCTTGGCTCAGTGAGGGAGAGGATTATACGTTACCTGTGGTTGCTTTTCTTTTAAAATTCCTGCAGCTCTTCAAATTATCATTATATATGTCACGTCGATGGTAAACAAAGACACCCGGTTTCCTATTCTTAGTCGGAAGCATAGAAATCTTGGCGCCATCCCCAACTACTACACATATGGAATACTCGCTGTTCAGGATCTAAATGAACAGACATTGTATACATTAAAACTATATTAAACCATCACACAAAGATATTAGACCAAAGTATATCCATCTATTAATTGCTTTGTAGATACTAGAAAGTGAACACTGTTTCTAAACATAGTCGTGCGTCAATCTTGTCAAGCAGCTCTACTTCTCTTCTCTTACTTAAGTAATCGTAAATGATTAAAACAAATCCTGAGCTTTTAGCCACCTCAGTAGTGACGCGGCCAAGTGTGCTGCAGAGTCTGTACTCAATGTTATTAACTCTGATTTGACTGTTTTGATATTGTTTAGCATTTTTCTTTTTTGTGGTTTTGTTGAAGCTTTTACTAAAGTCACATTTACAAAATGTAAGCAATTGTTGTGACTATTTTCATGTACTGCATTATCTGATCACAGGAACCATCGGTTATATTATTCTAACAATCGGTTCAACAGGTGTGATTAGTGACCAAACCATAAAGTGAAGGTTAGAGAGAAATGTTTGTTTTTTTGTATTGTTTTACGGGCCATCGACAATTTGAGTCATTTATGGCCAAACAACAGTGTAAAAATAGACATTCACAAAAACTGAATACATAAAAACAACAACAGAAACAAAAGGTTAAAATCAGTAAAGATGTCAAAATATATCAATAGCAAGCGAATTGATTATAAATTCAATCATATCTTATTATAGAGATTAATTAAATGTAAATAATCATGGATTGATTGCACAGAAACTGTATCGAATAAACGTTTTATAGAGGGTACATTATAAAATCTGTCGCGTATTTGTTTGAAATCAGCGCATTCAATCATGAAGTGTTTGACTGTTAATGGCTGATCAAGGTTGGTCTTCCCCATGCAAAACGTAGCTATTTGTCTACTTTTCGCACATGAACCTACATTAGGTTTAACTGAAAATAACTTAGAGGTCCCAGTCGTTACATTGGGTAAGAAGATTTTGTATTTTCTGTCCCAAGTAATAGAGCTCAGAGAAACACAGTTTGTTTGTTTTGTGTTTAACGGCCTCTTAACAGCAAGGATTATATGAGGACGGGTGCCTAGAGAGACACAATTGGAAAAAAGTAGATACTGGGAAAAAAAGGTGATACAGACGAAAGAAGATACCAAGTGTTGCCATCGGGCCAGCAGATTAATTTTGGTCTCTTCCATGTCTGCTTCGTAAGAAAACACGGAAGAAAACCCCCGTTTCTGCAGGGGACAAAACATTAGTCGCCTCTTCCGAACATGCAGTGGGATACAGCAGGTCTGTTCTTTCCCTGAACCTGCATGGGTAAAGAAACACGCTGATTCTGGAATTTAAAGCCAGAGCAAACCGGTGTTATTAAAACTATTATCATTGCTTCAGACAGAGTAGCAACTAAGAATCGAAAAGGCGACATGTTTTCTTAACAATGGATATTTACCGGTGCATAATAGTATGTAGATCTGGCCGTCCTGGTTAGAATACCCTCAGACAAAACCACACCCCGGGCCATTGTTCTTGTCGAGGCAGTTATCACTTCTGACCCAGTCTGTCTTCTAAAGTATTATTAATAAAAAGAATTGTGCATATTTAAATTTGCGAATTGGTTTTAGTTAGTTTGATAATTAAGTTAGATATCACTCTTTTTTAAAGATTGCTAGAATATATAATAAAAGTTAAACCTGAAGTCAAAAACCAACTCGTAATGACTACACCTAGATATATAAAATCGTGATTTAATTATAAAGTAAACCATAAGAGCTGTAGCTCGGAAGGACAATTCAAATATCAATCAATGACTACGAGTTTAATGAATTGTTTCTCTTTTAAATTTTGCATGGGTCAAATGACAATATAATTATGATTGTAGAGTTTTGCGTCAATATGATAGTTAAATACATATGATCCACTTGGATCAGTGAGCCTGATAATATCATGATTAAAAAAATCACTAACCTTTTCATTGCGTCAATTACTGCGCCTGTTCCATGAGCTCTTTCTAGATAAGAAATATCCAGGAGGGTGTATTTGTCTTTTACAGTTCGAGACAGAGGCAATAAAGGGTGCTTTAGCGTACGTCCTTTTCGGTCTATGATGAAAATATATGACGAATCACCTTCGTTGAATACGTTTGCGTCCGAGAATAAATCGTTGAGTTTGACATCAGCACAGGCGACTCCCAACAAAATAGATGGGTCGGTTTTGTCGTACGCCGGCAAGCAAACTGATATTAACAAACCTAAACAGTAGGAAAAAAGGCAATTTGGCTAAATATTGTTCCGAAATTCGCATTTACACAAGACCACGCTATAATGTACACTAACTTGCAGTTTGATTGAATGACAACAGCACATGACTTACCAATTCTTGAGAATGTGTCAAGGAACGGAGCGGAAATAACAGGGTCTGTATTTGAAGATTTGAAGAAGCTGTAATAGCGTCCCATATTTGAGCGGACAGTTTCTGCGTTTGATATAATTTGAAAAAACCCAATCTGAAAAAGGGAAAACATAGAGTAATTGTTACGGAATATTCATTTTTTTTAATATTGAATGAATATGTCTATGTCGACTTAATGTGTTTTCGAATTTAAATAAAGTTTATTGTTATTATTATTTTGTTTATATTCTGATCACCTAATATAAATTCATACGGTTGCCGTCTTTGTAGTATTAACAGTTCCTATGTGCGAATGTTGATGACATTGATATTACAATGTATTTCATGAAAAAGTATGTATCTTACCTTTGTAGTCCCCGCAGATGCATTGTTTCTGTTTTGATGGGTCATGTTATGAAGCAATTCTTTAGCAACGGTATCCTGATTAAGTTCTAAACAGTATAAGATAGAAATATATATATATAACTGCCTTCGGCTGTCTTGAGGGGCTATTGGTTTTATATAATAGCTATGTTTTCAATTATAGTATATCAGTTCTATTTTCTTGTAATATGATGTATATGTACATGTAACTGTTCTGTTTCACTGTGTCTTGAAAAAGGAGCGGATCGCTCCGAAAATTTGACAACCTAAACTTGTCCACACTATTGGAAATACTTCTTTGCCCCATATATATAAATAACGTATACTTGACCAGGTGCTTCAAATGAAGTTGTAGCGGTTTTATTTCTTGAACTATTATACCACTAGTGCTGTATATGAGGATTGTTTTTCATAGTTCGAGATGAGAGCTTAATCCTTAAGATTCGTAAGTCTCTTTCAGCAGACGAGTATAACAATCCACAGAAATTTTTACTATTGGCATTACATGGAAACGTTCTAATACAAGATTTTTTAGCTGAGAATGTGATAATTATTATTTAAATTTCCGCAATGTCAGATTTTATTCCGTATAATATATTTGTGCGAGTCGTTTTGCGAAGTGGGTTTTTATTAGATCACTTGTCTTTATGTTCTCGTTAGTGGCAGATTCTCGATTGCCTAATTGAACAACATATATTATGTACTCTTTATATCTTGTCCAAGTTAAAACACACATCACAATGGATTAAATCGATATGACTCTATTCCAAAATGTTTAATTATAGCACTGCACCATAACAGAGCATTACAAAAAAATGTTTCGTGTTTAATGATTGATTATTATCAACAAATCGTTTCTAAAATTATTTAATACTGAAATTAAACCCTCGAATTACATACGCCCTTTTGATAGTTGTTAACCAACCGTTGTACATACCATTCCCTATACCATACACCATTATGTGGACTCGGTTTTCAAGCTTGGCATTTTCGTCACTGATAATGTCTAGAGGGTTTCTGTTTGACGGCGAGTCGGCCCCATCGGACAGAACAAGGATTACTTGATCTGTTGATAGACGAAAACGCATCGATGTTATGCAATTCATCATGCAATTCAGTTATGGCTTACTGTATCTTGCACTGTATTACCAAAGTTTATAGGTGCGATACGTAATGCGTGTATTACGTTCATCTTTTAGGAAACAGAGTGGTAGACTCTGCTGGCGTTTTTTTTTTTTTTTTTTTTTTTTATTGTCCACAATCATCTTTTTTGTGGTTTGGGTAGCAGCATGGTTCAGAATAAACACGTTTTACTAAGTAGTAAATCATACAAACATGCATACGCAAAGCACATGGGGGCACCTCCCTAAATGACCTAGGCTGTTGATTGAACGTAAAACCCTGCACAAGCAACACACCAACCAACTAATGTGCAGAAGGCCCGTTAAACAAGTAAAATAATAAAGAAGGCAATGGGTTCTGTCCTTAGGCCGGGACATACCAAAGTCCTTAAAAATGATCGTTGTTATTTCCCGCTTAAAGTTCAGCATTTAGGGGAATGGCAACAACCTATTCACCCGTTGTCTGTATAATGTGGCCGGGCGGAATGCTGTGCTGTGCTGGGTGCCTTCGGCATGGTATTTCATTGAGATAGCACTATAAAGTCGGCATCAGATCTGCGCTATCACAAGGAGGCAAGCACACCAACATACCCTGTCGCCTGCATACACACAGGCAAGCACGCACACACTACACACATGTAGGCACGTCCTTAAATGACCTTAGCTGTAAATAGGACGTTAAACAAAATTAAACCAAACCAAACCAAACCAAACTAAACCAAGTTACATATGATTTATTTTTAATTACCATAAAACATTTTTGTTTATGAGTCCTATGGGGATTGCAGCTCCGGCAATTAGACACTGCGACGAATAAGACTTCCAGAAGACTAGCACTGATGAAAATATCATTTATATATTTAACTTACATCGCTCTTCGCCTTCCGATGGCGCCGATGAGTTTCCGAAATAATGGAAGGCCGCCTCAAGGCCCAGAATGACGTCAGATCCGCCACTGACATCCAGATTGCCGATAAACTTTGTAAGGTATCGCTCATTATCGGATGTGTACAGTGATAGTTGATTAGTGTAACAGCCTTGTGTCGGTTTAAGTGATTCTGGGTTGAATGATACAACAGCCATCTGAAATGTATTACTGAATATTTCAACAAATACAGACAAACATCAAAGTTGATTGCCAATAACCAACCCGGACGTCCATTGTTGTGATGATTCCGATTCCTGCCTTCGGTGACGCAATAGTCCCAAGGGACAAAAGTTCTCCCATTAGATTACAAAAATAACAACAAACAAATCAACTCCAATAAAGTAAATGTACAGTTACGTTGTATATGAAATAGATTTTCATGACTTTGTTAAAAAAAAATCAGGAATGGTCCAAACCAGTGTATGCTAATGATTAATTTACTGAAATTTCCATCTGGCAATGTTATACATTGAACGTTAAATCAAATACTCATACACGTTGGAATCTAACATTTTTAGCACAAAGAAGTAAGTTTGATGCCATTGTTGCAGCAAAATATTAAAAATATAAACGATGCTAACACTTACTTGAGCTAAATTATCATTTTAAATAATTAAGTTTCTGTGATATTGAAAATGTAAAAAAACACCATGTAAATTAAAAAAACAGAAAAACTTTGAGCTAGTTTTCATAGTCAGTTTAAACGCCATTTTGAGCGTGACCAATTCAACATGAGTATCGACTAGAATACTAAAAATATCTCACCAAATTGTACAGGTTTATGCAGTCTATATATGACTTTGTCTTTGTGATATAATGTGAGTACGAAAAACACAGTATTACCCTGTCGTTGGGATTCAGTGTCGTTAGTGCTGTTGTTGCTATCTCTTTGGCTAGCCTAAGTCTAGTTCGATCTGTGTTATCTGTCCTGTGCATAGATGTGGATGTGTCCACCAGCACCACTATGTCTTTGGCCGTAGGTGTAGCTGCTGCGGCGTAGTATGGTCTGGAAAAAAATGTATGTTTGTTCGTATAGTGATACAGCTAAGTAGTAAAATGGTCTAACACAAAGGCGTTATATTTTTCATCGAGTATCCCGAATCACGAAACGGTATCTTTTGAGAGTTTTGATATTGGTGTACATTTCACAATATTTCCATTTCTACTCAAGTTGGACTCCATGCAACCATAAAATGTTACCCATTTCATTTGCAAGATTAGCATTAGCTGTTCGTATAAATACGCGCCGGAAATTTTATATTTAAACTTATGAATTCATCAACAAAAATTGAATCTATTTTTGTGTTTTGTCTCATCAAAATTTGGTTGTATTGAACAATCAGCGTCAACACTTGAAGGTCGAGATCGAGAAACGAATTCAATTGCTGTTACCCACTGTATGTGTATATCGCAAGAGGCGACTTATGTTGGAACTCCCTAAAGAATTGGAGGTTTGCTTTTGAGCCCTCTAATTGGGGACACAAAAATGACGAAAATAAATCTGCTGCACCAAATGCAAAATGTTGGATCTTAATATTTCTTTCTACTTCTATCTACCCTATATTTCTTAGTGCTTTGCTTGGCAATACCTCACATCTGGCTTTAAAGTTGAGCGTTCGCCCAGGTGCGGAAGTAAAGGGTTCTGTCCCAAGGCTGGGACACACCAAATTAAGTCATTACAAATTGTAGTTGCTATTCCCTGCTTAACGTTCATCATTAAGGGTAATGCCAACAACTGGTTCACCCGTTGGCAGTATAATAAGATCGGGCGGAATGCTGTGCTGGGTTCTTCGGCAGAGTATTTCAGTATGGTAGCACTCCCGCGCTATCACAAGGAGGCAAGTACATCAACATACCATGTCTCCGACACACACACACGGATGCACGTATACACAACACACACGTCCTTAAATGACATTAGCTGTTAATAGGGCGTTAAACTTAATAAAACCAAACCAAACCAAACAATCAGCTTGCACCATCATGTTGTACAATGGTCCTTCAATGCCGGACTATATTTCTTTTACATTACGTCAATACGTAGACTTTCACAGTCTAGTACAAACTATCAGAATGGGCTTTCACAAGTTCCAGTTATTGAAGTCACATACTGATTGAAATCTAACGATTCAATGTTGTAGTTCAATGAAATTGCTTCAAGACAAAATCAATTCATCACCCCATAAAATCCACCAAATAAAGATTAAATCATTAATAAAGAAAATTCAATATGGCATTAAGTATTGTGTTATTGGGTCTTCAAAGAAATATATTCCTCATGTTATATTTACCGGAATCGAGGATCAAAGGATTTACATGATGTGGTAGACACCTTGGCTTTTGGAAAATGAAAGGAAGTACCATCTTCACCCCCAAAGTACTGCCAAAGCAAGTTATTATTTTTATCGAAATTGTTTTTCATGATTGTTCCCACTTCGGCACTTGGAAACTTCTTGATCTGTGGGGACTTCGGTGATACAGTCCAACAGGGCGAATCTAAAGAAATCTGTAATAAGATGACATATAAATGTTTTAACAGCAAAAATATTTATTAAAATGTAGTGGTACTTGGTAACAAATTATGTTATACAAAGGGAATGATATAATGTTAACTGGCCACCAAGAAATCAAACATTTAACAGCATACCAACGCCTATTTACCGTTTTTAACTGGAAGACTAGCATGTTTTTTTTCCATTTTTCAAGATAAAGAGAAAGACAAAAAAAATCGTTAATTCGTCTTGGCCTAGGTACTGAAAAAGTGGAAATTTTCGATGTGCTGAAATACTCCCGTTTTTCGTTTTGAGTTAAGTGACACGAAAATATTCGCACACTAATTTTTTTATCTAAAGATTATTGAAAAATAGATAAACAGAGTATATGGGTTTCAGAACCATTGTGCCTACGGGAAATGTTCCACGCCGTGATCAGTTTGCTACGCGAACATTGTCAAACGCAACAAATAACCGATAAGTACTTCCCAAAAGGTCGGTGACAACAGCCTATTAAATCCAGTAATAATCTCCGCTACAGTATCCATGAAAATAATTGATCTTTTCTATCTTGACACAAACTACTGTTTTGCCTATGAGGCGCTAAGTATTATATTGGTTTCATCGATTGCATCTTTTAAATTAATGTATACGCAAAAACAACTATGAAATCAAATTGTATTTTTGAGAAAATGAGAAGTAGTCTTACATTCGCCTGAAATTTGAGGTTTGGTGTCCCAGTAACGTCGCAACAATTTTCAAACGTCGAACTTGATTGGAAACTGTTGTATTTGTCTTCTACTGCTATTTTGATGCTTTTGGCGGCTTTTTCCAGATATTGAAACTTCTGACCAATTTCTTGTGAAAGCTTTCAGGAAAACGTAAAGCAAAACGAAATAATGAAAGACGTATTGCAATGCACTTATTTGTTCATGATAAAGCTTACCTCTTTGAGCTAGTTGCTTGTTCTTTTTTGCACCTCTCTGCAACTCAATGCCTCGAGCGAAAACCTTATTGCATTTTTTTCTTTCTTATTTCAAATTCATTTGAGATGTAACAAGACATTTGAATGGTCAATCAGTATAATTTGTCACGGTATAACCACAATATACCATCCGTTAACTTATCTGCTTATGATGCCCGGATGGCGATTTTTTTTACTGACGTCGATGATCGTGACACATTATGACATTAATTATTAATGACGTCACCCCAAAGGTCAATAAAATTACGGTAATGTGGACTGTAAATATCCGCTTTAAGATACCTGTCACATTGCACTGCCGTTTTTTCCTATATACAGTTACCTCCCCTTAACTTCCATTTGGAAATATGGGTATTGGTATTTGTATTGAAATTTCACGGCCCATCGACAATGCGAGTCAATTAGGGCAAAACAACACATTAAAATAGGCAATCACAAAAATGAATAATTCAAACTAGAAATGAAAAGATTTAAAAGGTGTAAAAATGTATTAACAGGGAACGAATTTGTTGTAAACCATGTCAGATCTTATGATAAAGATCAATTGAGTGTAAATAGTTATATATTGATTGAACAGAAAGAGTTTTCATACACTATATATTATAGAATCTTTCACGTTTTTGTTTGAAATCAGCAAATTCAATCATAAAATATTTGACTGTAAATGGCTGATCAAATACATGACAATAAGATTGCTCTTCTTTATGTTAAATGTGTGATGTAGGTATGGCCTATGCGCAGTCGCTAGAAGACAACCTCCTCTGTACTGTCCGTTCCACGTGCCGCAAATGAACCTACATTAGGTGGAACTGTTAATAATTTGTTGTTCACCGATTCAGACAATTTATTTTGCCAATTCGTTCTAATAAAATTCGCGATTTAAGGTTTAAAATCACTAAGGTATTTCAATATCTATCGGATGTAGGGTAAGAGCTACTTTGGCAACTCTATCTGCTTTCTCATTTCCACTTATTCCGACATGACCGGGTACCCATATGATTATCAGGTGGCAGAACATACAAATCCTGTCAATACGAAAAGCGATGTTTTGAATGCGAAAGTTGTAAAAGTTCCGATTTTTTTTAATAATTTGTAGCAGTGATAACGAGTCAAGAGTAGATTATTGCATTTTTAATTACATTTTATCAATTTCATCCAAAGCCAGACCATCTGCAGTTCCTTCAGCTGTAAAAATAGATGCATTATTGGGTAAGCGGCAGGAAGAAGATATGTTGCCGACAACACATGCTGCAGCAGCTTTCTCTTCAACCTTGGAGCCGTCTATATATAGAATTGTATGTGAAGAAAATCGTGAAGTATACTCTGAAAAAAGAGCTTGTATTAAAGCGGGAGAGTGCAAGATTTTTCATAATTGTGCAAGTCTATAGCAGCAATTTCGATTTCCAAATTTTCCATGAGTGTTTGAAGTCGCACGCCTATAGATGGGATCAAATTTCTCATTTTGTTGGAAAATGTGTGTATAATTTGGATGAAATACTGATTGGAATGCTGGGTTTTCTGAATTTGAATTTAACTGACAAGCAAACTGAAGACATGATTTTGTTCACTGAATAACTAGCACATTTGGATTCGTACACTTCTTTTGTCCGGGTACAATGCAGCTCAAGTCCAAGGTTCGAATCCCGGTCTGGCATCGCAGAATATTTCACAATCATTTAATCCCCGTCATTTTTTTATAAATGTCCCGACAGGTACATTGTACTTTTCTTTTAATTCCTGCAGGTCGGGGATTGCAAAATGAATACACCTGTTGTTATCCATCCCATGTATCGTACCCATCGACTAAGGTGGGAACCCCCTGCAGAATTTGGGATTTGCTTTTGTGCCCTCAACTTAGGGACACAAAAGCGACCAAAATGAATCTGCTGCACCCTTTGCAATATTTGAGATCTTTATGTTTCTCTCTACTTCTAAATACCTTTTATTTTCTAATGCCTTGCCTGGCAACACCCCACTTTTTTGCTGTAGCATTGAGCGTTCGCCCAGGTGAGGAGGCAATGGGTTCTGTTTCCAGTCCGGGACATATCAAAGTCCTTAACAATGATAGTTGTTATTCCCTGCAAAACTTTTCTTTTCGAAAATGATTGATCAAAGCTAAAACTTTGTTGGAAAATCAGTTTTGAATGCAGTTTCATTTTCTGGCTGTGGTACGAGGATCTTACTCTGGCTCGACTCCATGTCGCCAGTTTAACTCAAGTTGTACCAGTATAATATCGACATTTCTTTGCGCAAAGTTCAAACTACGAAAGGCTTTTCCCTAATAATTACGTACAATACGCTTATTAGAGGTTGCGGTTGAGTTCTGCGTGCGTTAAAGTTAAACCAAAGTATCAGTATAAAACACGATGTCAAAAAAAACACCTATATTAAAACAGTGTAAATCTAGGCAGAAAGCAAACCATATGGCCTTTTCGTCAATTTAAGACTCATTAGTGTTACTTGTTTGTATTTTTATGTCGTATTACTGGGTGCAACGACCGCCAATTCATCAATGTCCTACTTTGTTGCAATTTGATGATACGCTAAAATTTGAGTGCACTTAAATAAGTATGCTTACAGTATATACAAAAACTTACTTTGGTTACCAGATCATGCCCGTTCACGTCAATCCTGTCGTAGCGCAGACTGTCGTAGTGAGCCTGAATATATAAAAAATGCAACTGATTTGGTGCGCAAGGCATGTATACATTTACAATTTTATTTAGTATATGCAACTCACCGTGAAGTAGTATTGTTGTAAAATAATAAAATGTTGAAATATTGTATTGGGAAAATGGCCAGTTATACGTCTAAAATAAAGTTCAAAAATGATTCAATAGAAACAGACGAGACCATAACATTACTTGGTATAGCTCGTCTCCTTATGAAGCAATCACTTAAAATACTTCTGGCATACCATTTTTATTAATGTTACATTATAACTAGAATGGCGTTGTGGTTCCCGAATGCATGAGTGCCTCAGGGATCGGTTCTTTGTACGTTGTTTTTAAACAATATTTCAACGATACAACACGCAATCTAGAAACTCTTTAGAAAAGAATGTAATGCATTCATGAAAGTTTTTTCTTATTATGGTCAATTCAATAGAACTTGCGGTTAGTGTTTAAAATCCACCCCAAGCCCCTTCCCCTTTATTGGGAAGGAAGAAGACACCCAATGATGGAAAGGTGTTGCCGAGAGACAGAGCCAATATTTGGGAGTACAATGTAGTTCCAGTATTATATTCTGATGAGCTTGTTTTGTCATGACTGTTTGATTATCCAGGAGAGCGATACCGACCCTTTGGGCCTCTTGCTATCGTTATGTACTACTTTCAACATGATTGCAACACGATACCTGTGCTACGGTCCAAGCACGTTCAGATTCGGGGGAAAGAAAAAGGTCCGGTATATCTCGCTGCATGGTATTGATAGAAGGTGGCTTGTGTGGGGCCCTGTATAATTGGTCGTTTTCTGGTCCGTTACATCTCACTGCATGTTATTGATAGAAGGTGGCTTGTGTGGGGCCCTGTATAATTGGTCGTTTTCTTTAACCAAAACTGACATTTTGCCTCCATTGCGACAATTGGAGTCTATACTTTCCTTTCTCGCTACTCTTTCTTGTCGGCAGCCGTTTTATATGACCGTAGCTGTTACGAGGACGTTAAACCCATACAAACTGCTTCTGCCCTACAGATCTTTTATCAATTTGATAGTATCCTGAACCTCACTGATCTAAATTAAAAAATAATGTTGTAAAAAGTTTCCAACACAAACTTTCTTGATCGCGCTTTTTTGAGAATCGAGATTTGTTATACATCGCGTTTTTGTTGTATGTTTTCCGTAGCGACCATTGGTAGGATTCACAGAGCAATTGTTTCCTATGTGATGTTGTTTTAACTCGTTCTGTTGATAGCGTAATTAAACATTGACATATGTAGACTTGGTCAGGAGTATGTTCGATAGGGAGGATAAGCTGTTTCAGCAAGTCTAATTTCGCAGTTATCATGTAAAAGTTCGGACTGAGAAAAAGGATTATCTTATCTATACCAAAATACCATCCATGAAATATTCACTTATATACATGTTAACATAATTTATAATAACAGATAAATATACACGAATATAAACAATATCGGAATGGCCAATCTTGAGAGCCGGCAATATTCATCTGTCATGAAAAGCAAACCAACTGTCAGATCTTGAGTGTTCAGTGTTAGCATATTGAAACACAAAACGTGTGTTTTTATTAAAGCTCGACAAATAATAAAGCAGCTAAAATGCTACTTTGTTATAATAGCATAACTTTATTTTAAGAATGTGTGCTACTGTGTCGTTGATAACTATCCCACCCTAGCTGTTGATAGGACGTTAAACAAATTAAAACCAAGCCAATCAGTCATTACCTGTAGGTCTTTTAAACCCATTCCCTCATTTGCAAATTTCTGTAAATGGCTTGCCAGTGCATCCCCGTTGAGATGTTGACAGAAACAAACACATAGGAAGGACAACGCTAGAAATAGTTGAAGATTAACGTCCATCTTTTCCAAGTGTTCCTACCTGCAAAACAATACGTGTAAATAAAATGGGTTCTGTTCCCAGGTGTGAAATGTGTAAATTTAACGGGCGGTTAAGTACTGGGAAACATGTCAGAACCGAAAATGGGACCAATATTTCCGCTCAATATACACAGTCAGATTTAGTAGGATATAAATTGACACAAAAATTAAATAATGTGTCTCTGTTAATGAACAAAATGTGTTAATAGCACTTACATATTTCAACAAGTACTAAATCTAATGGGGGACAATTACAGATGTCTCTCAAACTGCCCCCATAGTCGCAAAGATGCATCAGAAAAGGATCGCATTTACTAAATTTGAGTGAAATTGTGCAATTTCACAATTGCGACCAATCAGAAACCTCTGTGTCGTTGCTACGGCAACGAAACTTATGCGGTTTTATTTGCAGTCCCCTAACATTCCTATATACCAATTTTCATCAAAAATAAAATAAAATCTAAATTTCGACCAATCAGAAGCCTCAATGGGGTTGCTATGGCAACGAAACATATGCGGTTGAATTCGCAGTCCCCTTATACTCTTATATACCAATTTTCATCAAATCGAACAATATCTAAATGTCCACCAATTAGAAGCCTTCGTGTGGTTGCTATATGGTTGTTATGGCAACGAAACATATGCGGTTGAATTTGCAGTCCCTTAATATCCATATATACCAGTTTTCATCAAAATCGAACGATATCTAAAATTTAGACCAATGAGAAGCCTCCGTGTGGTTGATATTGCAAACAAACCTATCCGGTTCAATTTGAAGTCCCCTTGATTATTCCCATATATACCAATTTTTTTCAAAATCGAACAATATCTAAATTTCCACCAATCACAAGCCTTCGTATGGTTGTTCTGGCAACGAAACCTATGCGTTTGAATTCGCAGTCCCCTTTTATCCCTGTATATTAATTTTCATCAAAATCGAACAATAGCTAAATTTCGACCAATCAGAAGCCTCCATGTGGTTGCTATGGCAACGAAACATATACCCCTATATACCAATTTTCATCAAAATCGAACAATATCTTAATTTCCACCAATCAGAAGCCTTCGTGCGGTCGCTATATGGTTGCTATGACAACGAAACCTATTCGGTTGAATTCGCAGTCCCCTAATATCCCTATATATCATTTTTTATAAAATCATCGCACCGCCTGTCCTACACGAACATTCATGTAAAGTTTCGTTGAATTCCGCCCTACGGTTTTTGAGAAACATGTCGAAAACCTCGTCGGTGGAAGAAAGTGGAAGAAATAATAATAATAATAATACATGTAATAATAAGAAGAAACGGAGCAAAAACAATAACGTTCAAATACTGCTAATATTCTTGTTAACGTGTCCAAACGCAAGAAGGCAAATACGACAACATACCCTGTCTCCGGCACACACATCACACACACTCGCACGCATACATTACACAGATGGAGGCACGTCCTTAAATGACTACAATTGTTAATTGGACCAGAACATAAAACAGTTCACTGATCTTTCACTCTGAATAGACCCTTATATGATCCCATCAACTATCAAATTAATACTAGAAATACATAGCGGGAGGCGCTAACTTCAAAATTCAGTACGTTGTTGGAGAAGTCAAACTGAGTAAAAATTTCGCCTGTACCCTTTTGTCATTTCAGCCATTCAGGGTTCATCAGTGTACTAAAGGGCAAAACAATGATAATAATGTGATGAGAAAATAAAATGAACAACTTATGGCCCAAATAGTATATTCTTCAACTAGTATTTGATCAAACCGTTTCAGAATTATTTCAATATGCAAGGTCTCTATCTTCATGTGAGCTTACAGGACGTAGCTATTGCGAGGTCACTTAATCGTAAACTTTCCTACGAATAGGTGTTATAAGAAATTAAAAAATGTATACATTGTGGTATACGCATATAGTACGAAGTATTGTTTAATCAACTTAAAGCACGTATGTCTACTTTCAGCTTAATACCATAACATTACGTCAAATACACGTGTAGCTATAGTTGTGCATTCGTGTTGATGCATGTACCATTTCAACAGAAGACCACATAGTTAGCAGTTAGCTGCTTAATCTACCTTTAAAACTTTATTTTTGATACTACAAAGCTCTGCTGCGACATAAGACCTAACATTCATATCTACAGCATTTATGTTATTATGTGTAATTTAGATAGTTAGATAGCACTTCAAATTATACTTGAGCAGACTTGTTTCTGTATGGACACAATCGTCATTGAACTTTACACCAGTAAAACCCAAAAGCAAATATATAGGCTCTCCCTATATGACCCAAATTGTTAATAAGTTGCTAAACCATACCAAATTAAAACAAACAAATCGTATTTGACTTGCCAATTGGAGTGTTATGTCGGATGTGGTTCCGAAAACGACTTTGCATGGCTTAACACTCCCTTGCAATTCATAAAAAAGTTTCACACATATTTTTGTTTTGTTTTTGTTGCTTTTCAATACCATGCCTTTGGAAAAGATAATGAGTTCTATCCCTTGGTCCGTACATGTATATCAAAGTCCCCAAAATAATAGTTTTAATAACTTAAAATTTTACAAAAAATGGTAAACGGTTGGTTGTCATTATAATGTGACCAGGTTAAATACTTTGCTGGGTACTTTTGTCATATTTCAGTGAAGTAGCCCTCTAAAGTCGGCATCAGATCCACGCTATTGCAAGCTGACCAACATAACGTCTCCACCACACATACATAAATTAAACATTGGAGGTGTGTCCGTGAATGACCTTGACTGTTAATAGGACGCTAATCACATAAATACAAGAGGCCCAATGGGCCTACATCGCTCACCTGGTATTAATCGCACAGTTGTAACCTTAAAAATGAACTAAAATAAAACAACAGGTAAAATTTAAGTGTCTTAACTTAAAGTCATTTAAAAGAACCTGTTTAACGATTTAAAGACATTTGACCCCTTTGACTGTGAAAGTCAAACATGGACATTAAGTTGAACAAACATCATCACCCTTGACATTTGGTTATTCAGAAGAAGTTGTTTAATTATTTTTAAAGACAATTGACCCCCGTGACCTTGAAAATGGGGAAAATCTTCTATTTGAAAAAACTTGGTAGCACTTCATCCCAGCATGCTACTAGCCAAATATCATCACTCCGGACCTTTTGGTTTTTCAGAAAATGTTTAAAAACATTTCAACATATTTGACCTCTGTCACTGTGAATATAGGCGAAGATCGTTCATTTAATCAAACTTGGTAGCCCTTCATCAAGCATGCTGCTTGCCAAATATCATCACCCTGGACTTTTTGTTTATTCGGAACAAGTTGTTTGAAAGGTTTCAACATATTAACCATCCATGTGACCTTCAATATGAGCGAAGGTCATTCATATAAACAAACTTGGAAGCCCTTTATCCACGTACATGTAGGCCAAATATAACCCTAAACCTTAATCAGAGACAATTGACCCCGTAACCTTGAATATAAACTTAGGTCATTTGTATGAACATTTTTGTAGCCCTTCATCCAAGTATGTTAATGGCCAAATATCAAGATTTTGGGCCTTACGATTATTCAGAAAAAAAGATGTTTAAAGATTTCAAACATATTTGACCCCCTGTGACCTTGAATATTAGTCAAGGTCATTCATTTGAACAAACTTGGTAGCCCTTTATGCCAGGATATTATTGGCCAAATGCCATCACCCTGGTTATTTTGGTTATTTAGAAGAAGTTTGAAAGCTTTTTTTTTAGATAATTGACCCCCGTGACCTTGAATATAAGTCGTTTGAACAAACCTAGTAGTCCCTCATGCCAGTATGTTATTAGCCAAATATCATTATCCTGTGCCTTCTGATTATTGAGAAGAAGTTGTTTAAAGATTTTCATATTTGACCCATGTGACCTTGAAAATAAGTCAAGGTTATTCATTTTAACAAACATGTTAGCTCTTCATCATGCAAGCATCATACTGCCCAAATATCATCACACTGGATCTTTTGGTTATTCAGAAGAAGTTGTTTAAGTAAAAAAATGACGCCGGACGGACGGACGGACCACGGCAGCCAGCTGGGGAGTTAATAACTGATCCACGACCAGTGGTTTTAGTCTATGTGTTTTAGAAGCGACTAACGCCCCCCCCCCCCTTTTCATTTATGTTTTCAGCAAAGTGGAGCACTTAAGAAACAAAACATGATCTGCTGTCGAAATTGCAAGACTTTTTTGTTTTCCCTAGACATATATGACCTAAGCTGTCGTGAGGACGTTAAACCCAAAACAAACTAACAAAAAAAAAAAAATTGATTTCCATCCCCGCAAATAGCGACACAACGAGCGCTTCAATGGTGGTATTGTTCCAGAAGTGTTCCATTTGAAACCACCACAGCGAGAATTACGATGGTGTCGATAACAAGGTCAGTTTACTCGAGGATAAATGGAGAACAATACACAACTACTACAAACGCGATTACAGCGCTGAGAGGTTCAGATTTAAAGGCATGACATTACTCTACGTTATTTCTTCCGGGTACATAATTATGCGGTTAATTTGACTGGACTCTATTGCCACTAATCAACTTGGCACTCCGGAAGAGGGGTGAAATTACGTCACATTTATATCTGTACCTAAACACAATCTCTATTAATGTTACTGGGGGAAGTTAATAGTGGTATATGTATATACATCTGTATAGCAGAGTCAACACGTAAAGAAGTATTCTGAAATTATAGGCTTTACGCTAAGATAGATCGGGAACACAGTTAATAGCAAAACAGTATTGAGAACTCCAATGAAACAGTAGGGGAACGTATGTTCCAATGAAGGACACATCCCTCAAGAATAAACGTTTCCCGTCAATTGAAGTAATTTTGTATGCAGAAAATGTGTCGAATATAAAAAAAAATCAGCAGGATGACGTCATATGGGAAGAAAAGTCTAGCTTAGTAGTTGAATGCTCAAGAAATCTGACGACCCTGCTAACATTGTACCTGTGCATGTTCTAGTAAAGTGA